GGGGGGGGGGGCGTGAGAGAGAAGAGGAGTCCAAGCTCCTAGCCCGCTCCCCTCCCTTGTGGGATGGAACCCAGGAGTCCGGGCTCCCAGCCTCCCATCCCCGCTCCCCTCTCCTTGTGGGATGGAACCCAGGAGTCCGGGCTTCCAGCCTCCCATCCCCGTTCCCCTCCCTTCGGGGATGGAACCCAGGAGTCCGGGCTCCCCGTCCCTGTTCTGACCCGCTGGCCCCTCCCTCGGGGCTGGAACCCAGGCGTCCGGGCTCCCAGCGCCGAGCGATGCCCCGTTGCCATACATGGTCAGCGCGCAGGGGCCGGAGCCGGGCTCCTTGGCTCTCCGGGAAGACGCGTCACGGGGCGGAGGGGGGGCCCGGAGAGGGGGCGGGGGGGGGCTCTGCCTCCATCCGCCGCTGGGGCCGGGCCGCCATGGACGACCTGGGTAAGGGACCCGCTGCCAGCCTGGGACCCGCCGCGCCCAGCCCGGCCCCAGCCCCCGCCCGCGGCCGGCACCTTCCCCGCAGCCCCTCGGCCCGCTCCTCCACCGCTCCCTGTTCCTCCCTCCTCCACTCCCTTCTTTTTCCCTCTCCTTCTCTCTTTTCCTCTCCCTTTTCCTCTCGTTCACTCTCTTCTTTTCCTCTCGCCCTCTTTTTTCTCTTTTTCTCTTTCTCATTCGCTCCCTTCTTTTTTCTCTTTCTCTCTCTTCTCTCTTTTTCCCTCCTGTCTTTTTCGCTCTCTTTCTCTTTCTTTCCCTCTCCTCTTTCCTCTCTCGTGGGCTGCTTTTTGCTCCCATCCATCCATCTTTCTCTTACCCCCCCCCCCCCCCCCTCCCCCCCGCGGGCCGGGCCTGGGGGGGGGGTGGGGGAGGGGCCCCCCCCCCCCCCCCCTCCCCCAGCCTGTCCCGATCGGGAGGAGACGGAATTTCTCGCCATATTCCTGTGGCTTCCTGGTGCCTGCGGTGGGGCCCAACCTGCAGGGGGCGCTAATAACCAGGGACACCCCCCCCTCCCCAGCAGCACCCTCCCTGCTACCCCCCCTCAGAGAGTTCTACCCATGTGCCGCGGGGTCCCTTCTCTTCTACCCTTAACATGGGGGGCAGAGCTGGAGGCCGGAAAGAGATTGGGGGGCTATGTCCCGGGAATGGGGGCACAGGGCAGGGGTGGGGTGGGGGCAGGCTGTGGGAGGGCTGCGTTATTGGGGGATGGGTGGGTGTGTCACGCTGGGGGGGCCAGGCTGGGTCCTAGGAAGGGGGGGTTGGGGGCTGCACCCCAGGAAGGGTTTTGCAGGGGCTGCATCCTAGGAAAGAGGCTGGGGGAGCAGGGCTGTGGGAGGGGGTCCCAGGATATAGGATCTGGGTTGGGGGTGGGTTTGAGTCCTAAGGGGGGGGGCTGGATCCCAGGGGAGAGAGCTAGACTGGGGGGATGGGGTGCTGAGGTTGTCCATCCCCACCCCAGGTAAGAACCCCAGTGAGTCCTGCAATGAAGACATGTCTGTGCTGGGATAGGGGTGTGTGAGGGGGTCACTGAACTCCCACCCCAGGATTCACCCCCCTCGCCAGATTTCCCCAGCACCCCCTCCCAGCAGGAGTGGAGCTACCCCCCCTTCCTGGCCCCAAACCAGCAGAGGGGGCTGGTAGCCCACAGCAGGTGTGGCCAGGACTGGGGGAACCACTGGGTGAAGGGGAGCCATGGAGGCTGGATGAGCAACCCCCACCCTGGGCTCACTAAACCTGAATCTCACTTTCCCCCTCTGTCCCCAGGTCTGGTTTGTTATTGTAGGGTCTCCTGTGACTGACAGAGGGGCTGTATTCATCATGGTTTGTTGTTGTAGGGTCTCCTGTGAGTGCTGCAACCACAAGCAGTGGTTTGCTAGTGTAGGGTCACTTGGGAGGGCTGCCCATGCTGGGTTATTATTGTAGGGTCTCTTCGAGACCTCCGGGGCTGCTGGCACTCCTTTGTTATTGTAGGGTTGTCCACAAGGACTCCTTTATTTTTATATGGTTGCTTGTGGACCTTGGGGCTGACTACTCAATTGTTTGCTGCAGGGACTTTTACGCGATTGCTTTGTTATCGTAGGGTCTCTTGTGAGCACAAGGCTATATACACTGGTTTGTTATTGTAGGGTGGCTTGTGAGCAGCAGGAGCTGTTTGCTTGGGTGGGGCCTCGTGTGAGATACGGGTGGCATGTGCTGGTTTGTTATTGTAGGGTCTCACATTTACACATGTTGGTTTGTCGTTGGGACTTGTATTTACGCATGATAGTTTGTTGTAGGGATGTGAATTTACACACAATGGTTTGTTGTTGCAGAGTGCTCATAAGCACTGGGGTTACAAGCACTGGTTTATTTTTGTAGGGTCTCCCATAAGCAGTTGCTGAGAATACTGCTTTGTTGTTGTAGGGTGGCCATTATTGTAGGGCCTCCCGTGCATGCTGTGCAGGTTTGTTATGGTTGGAGGGGCAGTGGGCGCTGTGTTATTGTAGGGTCTCCTGTGAATGCGGTGCTGGATTGCTTGCCCAGGATTCTGGTGAGGGCTGAATCAGGCTGGTGTGTGACCCATGGTCTGCCCCCTCCCTGGCTTCGCTGCTCCTGGCTGCTGGGGAATGAAAAGGCCTCTGTAGGGCTCAGTCTGTGGTGGAAAATGTTCCCACAAAGGAGTGATTGTAGGAGCGGGGGGAGATCTCCAGGGAGAGGGGTAGGGGCGCTCTCCCCGCATAGGCAGTGGTGGCCCCGCTGTGGTGTTAGGAGGTGCAGGGCGTGGGCAGGGAGGCTCAGCGGTACAAGGGGTGGGCGGGGAACTGTCCCTTCATGGAATGCGCTAATCCCAGTGCCCCTCTGTCCCTCCTCCCCATCTGCTCCCCCGTCTCCTTCCGTCCTGTCTCCTTTTCCAGGTGACTCTGGCTCTCCTTCTTTCCCGCTTCGCCCCCGTATAGTGGTGTTTGGTACGTACCGTATGAGCTCCTCACCCAGCCCACCGTCACAGCACACGTGGCTACTTCTAGGGCACTGCCGCCCTCGGGGAACTTGTATTGCTAAAGGTTGAATCTCTTCTTGGGAGAGGAGTGGGGTCTAGTGGTCAGAGCACGGGGCTGGGTGTCAGGACGCCTGGGTTCTATCCCAGCTCTGAGAGGGCAGTGGAGTCTTTTGGTAAGGGGGGGTGGGCTGGGAGTCAGGACTCCTGGGTTCTATCCCAGCTCCGGGAGGGTAGTGGGGGATAGAGGATCAGGACTCCAGGGGCCTTCCCCCCCGCTTTGGGAAGGTCCAGATCTTGATGCTAATTCCGCAGCTCCAGAGCTGGGCGTCCTCTCTTCCTTTTCTTGTCCCTTGTCTCTGCTTCCCACAGCCCCTGCTCCCTCTCTGTGCCCCCTTCCCCCCCCAGCAGTCCCCCCAGATCCATCCTAGCCTCTTCCCGACCCCCCTCCTCTCTCTGCTCCCCCGACAGATGCCCTGCTGGCTGATCTGGAGACCACAACCTCTCACATTTCCAAGCGCCCAGTACTGCTCACGGACTCTGGGGCAGCCCACGCCAACGGGCTGGGGCAGGATGGGATGCCTGAGGCCAGGCCCCCCCCGCCACCCTACAACCCTCAGCAGCAGGTAACACTAGGGGGGTACTGCAGGGAGTGGGGTGGCAGCTCAGGAGGGGGCTCTTTCTCTTCACAGTCAGTGTGACATTAGGGAGCGCTGTGCTGCATGGAGTGGGGTGAGGGCTCAGTAGGGGGCGCTCTCCTCTCTCAGTGCTGGCCTGCCCCAATGAGCCAGTGTGGTGCTAGGGGGCGCTGAGCTGCAGGGAGCAGGGTGGACGATCAATCCCTGGGCAGCTGTTCATCAGCCTCTGCACCCCACCCCAGAGGTGGCTGCATCTCCCTGGTTAGTCTGAGACGCAGAAAGCTCATGTCACTGGTGAAGTGAATAGAGGCCCATTGAGTGACTCCTCGCACCCCCCCCCCCATGTCTCTCTCTTTGCAGGCCATGTCCGTGGCCCCTCCGCCTGTCTCTGCCCCGCCTAGCGGGGGCGACAAAGAGCATCTCTACAGGTGGGTCCCTAGCACTGGCTGGGTTAGGTCTACAGGGGGCAGTCCTGGGAGGGAGTGAAGGGTATGAGTGTGGGTAAGGAGCTGGGGGGGAGCTCACTGGGGGAAGGGAGGGAGAGACTGGCAGGGGTGGGGGTGGAGGGGTGAGGTCAGAGGGAGGGGAGAAGAAGCGGGCGGGTTGGGGTTTCTGGGGCTGGGGAGGATGGGGTGGGGAAGGAGAAGCAGGCAGGGGTGGGGCTGGGGTAGCAGCAGGCAGGCCTCCCCTTGGCTCTGGCCCAGTCCCTGCTGGCTCTGGTCCAGCCGCTCCATTAAGAGGCTCCCTATAAATAGCGTCTCCATCCCGCCCTGCCTCCCCACTGCTCCCCGGGCCAGGCGGGAGCTGGCTCCTCCCTGCGAGGTGGCTGGGGGGAGGGGGGCTGCTCCCTGCACTCTGCTCACCCTCTGCTCCCCCCCCCCCCAGCACTGTCTGCAAGCCCCGCTCACCCCGGCCCAAGGAGCCAGGCGCGCCACCCTTTTCCTCGTCCAGCGGGGTGCTGGGCGCCGGCCTCTGTGAGCTGGACCGGCTGCTGCAGGAGCTCAACGCCACGCAGTTCAACATCACAGGTAGGGCACTACCCCCCCTTTCCCCTGGCACTGCCGCTCCGGGGCACCGCCGCCCCCTGCTGGGCTGGGATCCGGGCTCCCTCCGGGGCACTGGCATGCTCTGCTGGACTGGGTTTGGGGCCACTCCATGCCCTAGCGCATCTCTGCCTATGATTGTGAAATACGTCCCCCTGGTGGATACGCTTGGTCACTGCAGGCAACTAATGGAAACACTGTGAATGTGTGTGTTTGTTTGTCGGTCTTTTCCCCAGATGAAATCATGTCCCAGTTCCCATCCAACAAGGGCCCTGATGGGGAGAAGCGGAAGGAGAAGCCAGAGGATGCTGGGGAAGGGGGGTCCCCAAGCCGGTGAGTGAACTTCCCATTTCTGGCCATTGGTCCATGGGGTTAAATATCCCACAGTGCTGAATGGGGAACACCCCAGAGGTGGCTGCATCTCAGTGCCAGGCGAAAGATCCCTGTATAATCAGTCCCGGCGCCCCACCCCAGAAGCGTATGCATTTCTGGCGGGGTGAGGGATTCCTGTATAAACAGCCCTGGGAGCCTTTGGGGGGAAGTTGGGGGACCCAATGACCATGCTGTCGTTTCCCTCCTAGCTCCGCTGGCTCCACCCCCCCTCCTGTGAAGCCATCAGCCACCTCTGCTACCCTGGAGCTGGACAAACTCATGGCCTCCTTGTCGGACTTCAGAGTTCAGAGCAACGTGAGTCTGGCACACTACGGGGGACGAGGCTCAGTCTGGGGGTGGGGGTCTAATGGGATTAGGGCTCTTCCTGTCCCCCGATGGGAACCAGTAAGTGTGGGAGTAAAAGAAGCAATGGGGAGGGGGAGTGTGTGCAAGAGGAGGGTGGGGAGTGAGAGAGCGAGCAAGTGTGTGTGGGGGGGTGGGGAGTGGGAGAGCGAGCAAGCAAAGGCTGCTATGTGGACAAGGGAGTATGTGTGTGCAAATGTGTGCAAGAAGCGGTGAGTGTGCATGCAAATGTGTGTGCATGAATGGGGGTAGAAAAGCATGTGTGAGAAATGGTGTGTGCAGATGGACACACAAATGAGGGTTCAATTGTGTGTTTGAGTGTGCCTTTAAATGACCGTGGAAGAGCATGTGTGCCAATGAGCATGTGCACACGAGTGTGCAAGATGCAGTGCATGAGCATGGGACAGTGTGTGTGCAAGGGGCAGTGTGTGCAAATGAGCACACGGGTGAGCGTGGATGCAAGGGGCAGTATGTGCACATGAGTGAGCAAGGAGCTGTGTGTGCACATAAGTGTGCACGATAATTAGTGTGAGAGTCAATGTGCAAGGGATCCTGGGTCTGTGTGGGGGTGGAAATGAACATGCAAGAGAGCAGGCGTGGGAATCAGTTCATGAGCCCACAGCCGTGCACGCAGTATGTGTGTGCAAGCAAGTGCAAAGGCGGGTTGGTGTGTGTGCAAATGGGGGTACAAGAAAGAGCGACCCAGCAGGTGGGCAAGCGAGTGTGGAAGTGGCTGCAGCGCCACGGAGCACTAGTACAAGTATCCGGGTGTGGGTGAGAAACCACAGGTGTTGGTGCCAACCTGGGCGACGGGGGCTGTGATCGTGAGTGTGAAAAAGGACATGGTGGCATACAAGCGTGTGCCCTCCCACAGGGGAGCCAGGAGGGGTGAGTCTGAGGGACAGCTGGCAGTCGGCTGGGATCAGAAGTGGCCTGGCGAGATCACCCATGTGGCGGGTGGCTGACTCTGCCTGTCCCCTGCCTAGAGCCACCCTGCAGGAGCCCAGGCACTGGGCACATTCCTGCCCTGGCACCAGCCTTCCGGCAGCCCACACGCGGGTATGTGACTCAGCCTGGCCTGCTGCTGTTTGCCGTGTGGTGCTGTTTGGCAGCGCTGGGGCGGCGAGCTGCCGCCGTGGGGCTGGGCTGGGTGGTATTGTCCTGGGTGTGGTGATGCACGGGGCAGCGTAAGGCTCTGTAGCTTGCTGGGATGGCGCTGCATGGCATTGGGCATTGTATAGCATGGCATGGTGCAGCCTGGCGCTGCCCGTTTGGCCTGGTGAACAGGTGAACACAGCAAGTGCCCGGTGTGGGATTCTCTGTCGTACCGGAACGGGTGCGGCACCGAACTCCGAGGTATGTGACGGATGACCTGGCGCGGTGCCCCATATCCCAGCAGCTGGGTACAGCGTAGTGCAGAAACCAGTATTAGCCTGGTATGGCACCTCCTGGCGTGGAATGGCGGCTGGCCTGGCCTGTGGCATGAAATGGATCGGGGTGGCCCCGGCGTGGGTAACGGGGTGCTGTGGCATAGACTGGCCAGCACACGCCATGGCTGGGTGGCAGAGGCTGTGGCCGGGTTTGGGGTGACGGGTCGGTGTAATGCCTGGCACAGTGAGTTGGGGGCAGGGAGTCAGGGCGCTGGTTGTGGCCATGGGGGCACTGGGCGTTGTGGTGCTTCAGATGCTGTGTGGCAGGGACGGGCACGATTTGGTGGCCTGTCGCATTCCTCGTGGTGGTGGGGGGGAAGGGGGGGGCAATGAATGGGATGCAACCGGTGCTTTGTGGAACAGTTTCGTGTCATTTGTGGTTATGGCTCCTGCAGGGCCGTACAACCTGCCTGGTGCCAATCCGGGCAGCTTGGTTCGGCGCCGTGGGGCGGGCGCTGCCTCGCTCGCCGTTGGGACCCAGCGTGGTTCTGTATCGCCCCCGGGCGCTGCTTGGTGCATGGTTCAGCACCTCATATCACAGCCGCTTCCCTTCCAGCTTCCGGGGGTCTCGGCTGCACCGCCCCCGGCCCCCACCCGAGTCTCCCTGGCGCAGCAGCCGGTGGTGTCGTCCGTCTGCCCCAGCCCCTCTGGCCCGCCCCCCCCAGCAGCGACGGCCCCGCAGGGCGGCAACTTGGACACCATGCTGGTGATGCTGCAGTCGGATCTGAGCCGCCAGGGGATCTCCACCAGCACCAAGGGGCTGTGCGCCTCCTGCCAGAAACCCATCGCGGGGCAGGTGAGCACAGGACTGGGGGCACCCGGGGGGGGATGGGGGGAAAATCGGAGGTGGGTACAGAACTCAGGGGGTGGGGCAGAGGAGCCAGGGCACTTGGGAGCAATCAGGGGCAGGGGAGTGGGCAGAAGTGGCTTAGGGGAGGGATAGATTGGGGAGGGGGCAGGGTCAATTTTGGGAGGGGCAGATTAGGAGAGTGGGTGGGAGATGCGGAGGACACAGAGTGGAGGGTGGGGTGGGACCATGCAGCACTGGGGAGGGGGCAGGGGGAAAAGGAAGAGCACCAGGTGGGGTGTGAGGGGGAGGGGAGGCAGGTAAGGGGAGGGGCTATCTGGAGGAAGAGGAGGGGTTAGGGGACATGGGGGGAGGGAGGAAGGGGCCTGTGGAGGGGGGAGTGCAGGACAGGAGAGGGGAAAGGGAGGGGCCAGTGTGGGAAGGGGGAGAAGGGAGAAGCTGGGTCTTTTCTTCTCTTGGTAATGGGTGTGCGTCCATCCATCTACCTGTTCGTCTGTCTTCCCCCCCCCCGCCCTTGCCCAGGTGGTGACGGCGCTGGGCAACACCTGGCACCCCGAGCACTTCGTCTGCACCCACTGCCAGAAGGAGATGGGGGGCAGCAACTTCTTCGAGAAGGATGGCGCCCCCTACTGTGAGAGGGACTACTTCCAGCTTTTCTCGCCCCGCTGCGGCCTCTGCAACGAGCCCATCCTGGATGTGAGTTGGCCACGCAGCGCCCGGCTGGTGCCATTCCCTCAGAGCACAGTGCAGTGCAGGAGAATGCAGTGCCGTACAGTGCTGTGTGAGAGAGCGCAGTGCCGTGCAGTGCTATGAAGTGTGAGAACATAGGGCCACACAATGCGGTGCAGTGTGAGAGAGCACAGTGCCATGCAGTGCTATGAAGTGTGAGAACACAGGGCCACACAATGCGGTGCAGTGTGAGAGAGCACAGTGCCGTGCAGTGTTATGAAGTGTGAGAGCTCAGTACCACACAATGTGATACAGTGTTAGAGTGCTGTGCAGTACCTTGTAGTGTGAGAGTACAGTGCAGTGTTGGAGCATGCAGTGACATTCAGTGGGAGAGCACAGTTATGTTCAACACAATTCAGTGCAGTGTTAGTGTAGTGCCACACAAGGGAGCACATTGCAAAAGGGTACCTCAGTGTGAGACAGCACAGTGCTACACAATGCAGTGCATGCAGTGATACACAGTGTGACAGAGCACTGTGCCACATGGTGCAGTGCAGCACCGTAGAATGCAATGACATATACTGTGGTATAGTGCTATAGAGTGCAATGTGAGCAATGCAGTGAAACACAATGCAAGGCAGTGCTGTATGTAGTGACTGCATGCAGTGAGACCCAACAGCATGTGCGGTGAGGCTATAGAATGCAGAGGCGGCCGGAGCCCTAGGCTCTTTAATTCGCCCCAGGCCCTTTAATTCGCCCCTGAGCCCTGGGGCTCCCAGCCGCCTCTGCAGCTGGTAGCTCTGGGGTGATTTAAAGGCCCTGGGGCTCCCAGCCACAGCTGGAGCCCCAGGGCCTTTAAATCTTGAAAGGCTCCGCCTCTTCCGGTTGAGGCCACGCCCCCACTCAGGACTCCTGCGAGTTACTTTCACCCCTGGGGAGGAGAGGCCAAGTGATGATGTCACTGTCCCTCTTTTGATACTTTCCTCCAGCTGCCAGAATGATCCTTGCTGTGATGTGGGTTAGGCGGCTTTCACTGGGTAGGTGCCCTCTCTGAGCAGTCTCTGGGATGGCCACTGGACGAGTCGATTCCCCTTAATGGACCATCAACACATGTCTGGCTGGTCCTGATGTAAATCTGTCTTACTAGGCGCTCCTTTGGATCTAGACTGTTCTCAGTGGAAGCAGATGACAGAACAAGGAGTAATGGTCTCAAGTTGCAGTGGGGGAGGTTTAGGTTGGATATTAGGAAAAACTTTTTCACTAGGAGGGTGGTGAAGCACTGGAATGGGTTACCTAGGGAGGTGGTGGAATCTCCTTCCTTAGAGGTTTTTAAGGCCCGGTTTGACAAAGCCCTGGCTGGGATGATTTAGTTGGGAATTGGTGCTGCTTTGAGCAGGGGGTTGGACTAGATACCTCCTCAGGTCCCTTACAACCCTGATATTCTATGGTTCTATGATTCTTTGTTGCCACTGAAAGACCAGTTGTGGGCGATTCCCAGCCTCACCACATATTCCAGTAACACACACGTAGCAAAGCTTCATAACTTCAGACACAAGGTTCACACGTCCAATCCAACGGGATAACAATTTTCAATGGCTCAAGACTTTTTAAATGATACCTCACAAGGCATACTCTGTACAAAACACCTCATCATCATATCGCAGTGGTGAATATCGGGGGGGCCGGGATGCTATTTTGAGGTACAGAGTGTCACACCCTGACTCTGTCCCTTCCAGAAAATGGTGACAGCTCTGGACAAGAACTGGCACCCGGAGCATTTCTGCTGTGTGAAGTGCGGGAGGCCCTTTGGGGAGGAAGGTGAGTGAGCACCCCTGCCCCACTGCACCCCACATCTGAGGGGACCTAGGCTGCGCCCCAGTAACCCCTCTGTGAGACAGACCAGTCCCCCAACTAGCATTGTCCCCATTGCTTGACAGAGACTGGCCCCCAACTAGCAGTGCCCCCCACTGCCTGACAGAGACCAGCACCCCCAACTAGCACTGCCCCCCACTGCATCCTCTCTGTGGGAGCCCTCAGACCCCTCGCTTGCAGTGACCCTGCTGCAGTGCGGCCGGTCACTGAGGAGCCCACTGGACCCTGCTCTCTGTCTCCCCCCACAGGCTTCCATGAGAAGGACGGCCAGCAGTACTGCCGCCAGGACTTCTACGAGCTCTTCTCCACGCGCTGCCAGGGCTGCAGCCAGGCCATCCTGGAGAACTACATCTCGGCCCTCAGCGCCCTCTGGCACCCCGAGTGCTTCGTCTGCAGGGTGAGCCCTCCCCCCGCCCGGGCACAGCTGGAGGGGAGGGGGCAGTGCAAGGTTGGGGGAGGAGGGACCGTGGAGGGAATGGGGGAGGGGCACTCTGGGGGATGGGGGGAGTGCCGGGAGTATGGGGAATGTGCAGTGCCGGGGGGGGGGAGGGAATGGGGGAAGGGCAGTGGGGAAATGGGGGGGCAGTGCAGAGGGAAGGTGCAATGTGGAGGGAGGTGGGTGGATGGGGGAGGGGGCAGTGTGGGAGGAAGTGAGGGGAGGGGGCAGTGCGGGAGCAAGAGGGGGAGGGCCAATGCAGGGGATGAGGGGAGGAGCCATGCAGGGGGTGGATGGGGGAGGAGGCAGTGTAGGAGGGAGGGACGAGGGGAGGGGGTGATGCAGGGGGGTGGGTGGATGGGGAGGGGGCAGAGTGGGAGGAAGTGAGGGGAGGGGCAGAGTGGGAGCAAGAGGGGGAGGGGCAATGAGGGGGGATGACGGCATGCGGGGGGTGGATGGGGGAGGGGGCAGTGTGGGAGGAAGTGAGGGGAGGGGCACTGCGGGAGCAAGAGGGGGAGGGGCAATGAGGGCGGATGAGGGCATGCAGGGGGAGGATATGGGGAGGGGCAGTGTGGGAGGAGGGATGAGGGGAGGGGGCGACGCAGGGAGAGGCGCGGGAGGGAAGCAGGGGCAGCGTGTGGGAGGTGCGGCGCGTGCACTCACCCCTCCTGCCCCTTCCCCCCAGGAGTGCTACGCGCCGTTCCTGCAGGGCAGTTTCTTCGAGCACGGCGGGCGGCCCTTCTGCGAGACGCACTACCACAAGCAGCGGGGCTCGCTGTGCTGGGGCTGCGAGAAGCCCATCGCCGGGCGCTGCATCACCGCCATGGCCCGCAAGTTCCACCCCGAGCACTTCGTCTGCGCCTTCTGCCTCAAGCAGCTCAACAAGGGCACCTTCAAGGAGCAGAACGACAAGCCCTACTGCCACCCCTGCTTCCTCAAGCTCTTCGGCTAAGCCACGCCCTTGTCCGGGCAGGCCCTGCCCCCAGGCCCAGCCACACCCCAACAGGCCCCACCCCTTGGCCCAGCCACACCCCAGCAGGCCCCGCCCCTGGCCCAGCCATGGCGGGCAAGCCACGCCCCACCCCACAACCGCGCTTCAGCAGGCCATGCCCTGGGCACAGTCACGCCCTGGCAGGGGGGCGCCCCACGGCAAGGCGACTCCCCGGCAGGCTCCTTACCTGGCATAGCCACACCCATCATCTCTGAGTGGGCGACGGAAAGGCCATGGCCCCCAGCACAGCCACGTCAATCATTGCCAAAGGCTGGGTAAGCCACGCCTCCCAAGCCAACCTGGGAAGCCCCGCCTCTTTCAGAGCCACACCCACAACCAGCAGGGGGCAGCACATCTGCCATTCCTCCCATGCTGCTGATAGGTCTTGCCCCATCAAGCCGCCTGGAGGCCCCGCCCCCGTGCTAAGCAGAATTTGAACCCCAGGCCCACAGGGGATGGGCACTGGTCATGGGTCTCCTCATCCAACAAGAAGGCATGGCCGTGGGGGGCAGAGAGGAAGGGCCACTGGGCTAAAGCCTGCCTTCAATGGGGTGTGGCTGTCTGGGCTAAGCCCCAGCCCCTGGGCACAGCAAAGGGGGCGTGGCTTATTTTTTCCAAAACTCACATTGAAATGTCATAGGATCACAAAGTGTCTTCAGCTCTGGGCTGGGGGTGTGTGGGGGTGGGGAATGGGGGGTGTAAAATGGGGCAGGTGGGAGATAATTGGGGGGAAGGGGAGAAAGGGGTTTATTACAAGCACAAATAAGGGAGGTATTTTATACTCATGCTGAGTGTTGCTATTTAAACACAGTGGGGGATCACTCCAGACTGGCACCAACAATCCTCACCTCCAACACTATGTGACTGTTAAACAGCCCTTGCGCCCTGCCCCAGAGGTGGCTGCATCTCAGTGCAGGGTGAGGGATTCCTGTATAAACAGCCCCTGTGCCCCACCCCAGAGGTGGCTGCATCGCAGCACCAGGCGCGGGATCTCTGTATAAACAGCCCCTGTGC